TATCAGATAAAACCTAAACGATACCCATCCCTAGTCAGGGCTGTATCAAGACACAGGGACTAAACCCCAGTTCAACCAGACCCAGAACTGATCCGGAATTAAAACAGGACTACAACAGTTCAAAATCAGGACTACTGAGGACTTAACCAAGACAGAACCAGAATCAGAACTAGATGATAGTAGACTATTTAGATTGAGAAACGTTTATATAATTATTTAGCCTTGTTGTGCAAACAATCCTGCAAAACTTAATAAATATAGAATATGAAAAGTAACAAATTGTATCTAGTAGAGCAGGGCGATATGGCCAAAACCTGGAATTGCACAACCCACCCTTCGGTTGACAGCAACACAGGAGAGCCTCACCCACCTTCGGGCTCACTTTTGTCTACAATCGTTCTTCAGAATGATTTGACTGATGTGTGGAGAAAGCTCCATCCTAAAACCAGACAGTATACATATGTAAAGGTTTCTGAGAGCAATGTGAAGGCAGCTGGGCTTGATAGATTATATGTCAACCAGATGTATGATAATAGACTGGTTAAAGCAGAGATCTCACCTGTTGGTTTTTCTGATCATCACTTAGTGACTGCAGATATTTCCTTATTGATGCATTCTAACATCGGTTCGCACTGGCGCTTTAACGTGCTGCTGATTCATGACAAAGAGTTCTGTCGAGCTTTTTCTGACTTCTGGTGCCACTGGAAACTAAGGAAGATGGACTTTTGCAATTTGGCTCAATGGTGGGAGGTGGGGAAAACACAGATTAAGCTTTTTTGTCACCAGTACACATCACATGCAACGGCCAGTGTTAAAGACTGCTTTGAGGACTTAGAACGAGAGCTCAAGAGGCTAGAGACTGAGATTATAAGTGGGACAGATTAAAGCATGTTCAGTCCCTTCGAAGGCAAGTGTTCATGTTTTTAGACACAGACACTGGATGTCTCCTTCCGTGTCAAACATGAATGGTAAATGGACTGGTTCTTATATAGAGCTTTTCTACTCTGTCCGAGCACTCAAAGTGCTTTATACAGCTAATTCATTCCCAATCACACCCATTCACACAAGCACTTCTAAGCTTAAGTGCTAAGTATGTAACATTCACACTCCGATGGATGCATCGGAGAGCAACATGGGTTAGTATCTTGCCCAAGGATATTTGGCATGCAGACTGGAGCAACCTGGGATCAAACTACCGACCTTCTGGTTAGTGGCTGATCCGCTCTGCCACCTGAGCTACAGCCACCCCGTGAAGAAGGGCTCTACACGGTGTATGCTAGTTCTGGGAACATGAAATGTTTTGAGTGTGGAGATGTGGGTCATAAGAAAATAATGTGTCCTCACAGACAGCTTGCAGCGGGACCTGCTGTGGATGATAGTGGGGAGGGGGTTAGCGGGCAGCAGGCGCTAAACGTGGCTGCCCCTCCGGTGCGGGGCGAGGCCGCCGTTGCCCTGGCTGAGGCTGTGCCTCCGGCACGTGGTGAAACTGCCCTATCTAAAGAGAACGCTGCGCCCTCGGTGCGAGGTGAGGTCGGCGTTTCTCCCGCGGACGCTACGGCATTGGTGTGGAGTGAGGTGAGTGATTGCATGACTACAACCAAGCCGACAGAGAGGCTGGACCTGCGGTCAGTACGGCGCAGACTGGGGATGAAATGGGGAGCTCTGAGTTGGGTGTAGAGTGTGTTGTTGCCTCGGGGGACGGAGAGGTGGAGGAGCAGCAGCGCCGGACGCCTGCTGGTGGTTATGGTTACGACACGAATGACATGGAGTGTGATTCTGACTCTGATAATGTTTCTGTGGCAGACAGTGTCTCTCAAAATGCAGATTTGTATTCTTTGGAGGAAATCGTTGCTTTTCTGGACGACACCTTTGGTAGGAAGGTGAATGTTAGGGAATATTTCCCTGATGTTGAGAAATTCGTTTGGTCAGCTATGACTCTTCAGAAGGTTGTGGGATTGGACTTACTGGATGGTAAAGAGCGTTATTGTCTG